CCCGGACCAGGGCACGAACCCGTGTCCCCTGCATCGGCCGGCGGACTCTCAACCACTGCGCCACCAGGGAAGCCCCTCTGCCCATTTTTTGATTGGGTTGTTTGTTTTCCTGTGGCTATATTTCATTATTCTCTCAATCTCATGTGAAGATACAAAAAAAAAGTGTCATATGCTAACCAAAGAGAAACCTAAGGAAGATAAACAGTGTAGTTATCTCTGTTTATTAATCTCTAAATATTTTGAATTAGAGATTTCTATATTAAAAGTTATTTTATAGATTTGGTTTATTATCTTTGGCATGTTAATACTGTTTTTAGATGAAATGGTAAATAGAGGGGATCTTTTTGTTTGTCCCGATTGGTTTATTGAAATGTACGGAACTTAAAAAATTCTGGGGGGGGGGGCTTTCTTTTTTTAAGGCTATGAAAATGACTCTGTGGAAGATTTGAAGGAGATGACTTCAATTACCTCTCGGAAGAGAGGTAAAAGAAGGTACTTCTGGGAGTACAGTGAACAACTCACACCGTCACAGCAAGAGAGGATGCTAAGGCCATCTGAATGGAACAGAGATACCTTGCCAAGTAACATGTATCAGAAAAATGGCTTACATCATGGTAAGAGGGGATTGTGATCATGTATGTTCCCTCCCTCCCTCCCTTCCTTTCTCTTGTTATTGAAATATAGGTGATGTGCAATATTATGTCAGTTTCAGGTGTATTACATTGTGATCTGACATTTGCATGCCCCATGATCACCATGATAAGTCTTGGTAACCATCAGTCCTGGATATTTTATGTCACTTTTAAATAGAGATAGTAAACCCTAATGCTTAATCATTATACATTATATGTAGGTATTCAACCCTTCCTAGCAAATTGGAGAGTAGAACAGTAGAGCTGCTGTATTTGCTATGACTGCTCCTCATTCACAAACAGCTTTTATCAGTATTGAGAGCCATCACCTAAACAAGGAGGAAAGCTTGTGTAAAAATGATTTCTAGTCACTTCTTGTTCTATATATCCTACCCAGGAAATGACCCAAGAGCCTGCTGATTCCTGACCTGTCACAGTTGCCATAAGCAAGAAGGGTTGGGGAAGAAGAGAATGGGCTCTAGGATCTCTGTCTTTCATTTTTGTCCAATCTCCAGGCCTAAATATTAAACAGGGAGATTGGAATCAAAACGGAGGTGGAGAGAAAAGAGGAGGGAAAGGAAAGAAAGGAAGAACAATTGCGGAGAAAAGGAATGGAGCAGGAAGAATTGAACAGTAAGAGTCAGGAGAGGCTTATAATCTTAGGTAGGCCAGATTTTGAACTGTGAACCCAGGAGGATGTAATTGAGTAGAATTTCTTCTGCACAGATGTTTTTACCTTAATCCAAAGTCTGTACTGAGAAGGTGAGGGGCACTAGTAGGCTTGGAGCTCAGTAAACAGTTTAGTAGTTGCTCATGCTACAGATATAAGTTGCTAAGCATTTTTGACACAGAAGTTGTATCAGAAGTATATTTGTGCCTCATTTTCCCTTTCCACTGGTACCCAGGTCTGTACTCTATTATCTTTCAGTGAATAAAGGCCTAGTTTTTGACTTCAGATTAATTTTCTACCAGAAATGAAAAGATGGGTCCAACAAATAGGTCCAGGTAGCATGAAGTGAGTACTAGGAAAGTTGTTCAGGGTATTATAGTTCAGAGGACAGAGCCATTCCTCTTGCCTGCAGTGGTAGGGGAAGTCTTCTTGCGTCTTCTGTAATGTTATTTATCAAACTAACTGAAGACTTGGTTTCTGAAAAGGCAATCCTTATTTGTTGGACTTTTGGGTCCAACACAGGAATATATATGTCTGACAAATTTTTAGTCATAGCAGCATAAATGTCTTGGTTTGGGTAAAATTTCCAAATTCGTTGCTGACCATATACTGTACCCTAGCCCTGATTTTTGTGTGCAGGTGAACTTGGACTTCAGTCCTGAGGTTTGAGATGCTTATTACTTCCATACAGATAATTAAGAATCCATCATACCAGGGCTAGAAACCTTAAGGTGGAGAAGGTTTGGGAAAAGGCTGGAGTTGTGCTCTATTACCCCCATTTCTTGCCATCCCAAAGTGGGAAGGAGAGGAGGCCAGCCCTTCTAGGGTAGGTTGTTCATATGCTGAGACCTCTGAAAAAAGAAAAGGGGGGAGGGGAGAGATGGGTTTTTACATATGGCTATATAAAATGTATCTCTTGTTAAATAAAATGATCTCACTTAAACTTCTTTTAAACCATCTATAGGAAAATATGCAGTAAAGAAGTCACGGAGAACGGATGTGGAAGACCTGACTCCAAATCCTAAAAAACTACTCCAGATAGGCAATGAACTACGGAAACTGAATAAGGTGATTAGTGACCTGACTCCAGTCAGTGAGCTTCCCTTAACAGCCCGGCCAAGGTCAAGGAAGGAAAAAAATAAGCTGGCTTCCAGGTAAATGGTAATGTTTACTCATGTGATTGAAGTCTAGGAGGTGAGGTTAGACTTCAGTGAGCTTTCATAGAGGAGATGGCCCTCGGCCCTTTTTTCAGAAATGTACTTTTATAAATACTACAATGAGAGTATTATAATTTTTCCTTTGAAAGTAAATGATGGTATTTATGCTTCATGGAAGAAGTTTTTAAAGGGGAGAGGTGAATGAACTCAAGTGCCTTATAGTATAAAAAGGAAAAATTTTATCATAGCTCTTCATTTTTTGTTTGTTTTGCAGTAAGTCATGTTTTTTTATTGAGGTATAATTTACTTGATAAATTCTTCACTTTCAGTGTATCCTTCTGTGAGTTTTGACAAACATATCCAATTATGTAACCACAACCACAGTCAAGATAGTGAACATTTTTATCACCTTAAAATATTTCCTTATGCCTCTTTGTAAAAGTGAACTCCCTCTCTCACCCCTAACTCCTCACAACCACCGATCTGTTTTCTGTTCCTACAGTTGCGCCTTTTGAAGAATATAGATGGAATCATATTATATGCAGCCTTTTGAGTCTGGCTTTGATATCACACAGGATGAATTTGAGATTCATAATGTTGTTGTGTGGAGGAGTATTGATAGTAGTAGTCCTTTGAAGTGATACACTTCAGTGTATCTGTTCACCAGTTGAGGGATAGTTGAGTGGTTTCTAATTTCGTGCAATTATGAATAAGGTCACCATAAACATTCATCTGCAGTTGTTTATGTGAACATAAGTTTGCATTTCTCTTGGGTAAATTCCCAGGAGTGTGTTTAACTGTATAAGAAACTGCCAGAGTAGCTATTTCCAAGGTAATGAAGTAAATTAAAACAATATTTACTGTTTTCCGAAGTACTTGTACGTACTGTTTTACATCCCCTCCAGCAGCATACGAGAGTTACACTTATGCACATCTTCCACACCACTTAGTATTGTCAGTTTTTGTTTGTTTACTTTGGCATACTAACCATAGCTTTATTTTTGAATCTGTGCTGAAACTTTAAAAAATCAGTTTGGATAAATGATGATATTGTATGTTTTGGGGTGATGATTGAGGCCCTTTATACAAACATCAGTAGGCAGCGATTTTTGGTTGCTATTAGAAAATGTCTGACAGCAGCAAAAAGAAGTATATTCTGAATGTTCCTTTAAAAAAAAAAAACTGAACTAATTGCTCCTTCCTTTCACAGGGCTTGTCGGTTAAAGAAAAAAGCGCAGTATGAAGCTAATAAAGTGAAATTATGGGGCCTCAACACAGAATATGGTAAACCTACACTTTTAACAATTTGATTAACTTCCTTTTACCTTGCTGACCACTCTCTTTTTCTTTGGTTTTGTTATTTGCTTTCCCTGTATTCTGCCCAGCTTCAGGCCAGCCTCTTTTTTGTTCATCCATTCAGTAAGCTATATACTCACTCTTACTCATTCACGTCCTTCTCTTAGTATGTCTATCTGTGGCGCGCCAAGCCAAATCTCACCTCTATCCTAAAGAGCTCACCTCTTGTGACCATGGGTAATCTCTGACTTCCATTTTACAGTTGTGTGCTGGGTTAGCCAATTTTATTAACTAATGTATATTTTAACCTTTGAGTGGATAGTTTAGAAACATGTTTTACAAATGTGATTGTTCATTAGAATCATTTGTGTGTGCATGTTAAACTGTAGATTTCTAGGCTTCTCCCCAGATACTCTGAACTGTAATCTATGCAAGTAGAACCCAGGAATCCATATTTTTAACATTACCCCAGATTACCCCTTTTTTAAAAAAATTTAATTCATTTATTTTTGGCTACGTTTTGGGTCTTCATTGCTGCGCACGGGCTTTCTCTAGTTGCAGCGAGTGGGGGCCACTCTTTGCTGCAGTGTGTGGGCTTCTCGTTGTGGTGCTTCTCTTGTTGCGGAACACAGGCTCTAGGTACGTGGGCTTCAGTAGTTGTAGCATGCAGGCACAGTAGTTGTGGCTCGCGGGCTCTAACGCGCAGGCTCAGTAGTTGTGACGCACGGGGTTAGATGCTCCGCGGCATGTGGGATCTTCCCAGACCAGGGCTCGAACCTGTGTCCCCTGCATTGGCAGGCGGATTCTTAACCACTGCACCACCAGGGAAGCCCCTACCCCAGATTACTCTTATGCAACCATCCTAGTACATATTTGGGAACCGTTGGTTTAGATCAGTGCTTCCCGATCTTTCACATCATGGCACATGCAGAAAACTATCATCCCTAAGGCATCCTGGAGTATAACAGAGTAGGATGCTGATGGGAGGAGGCCCTTTTGGGCTGAGATGATCATTATCTCATACACCTGGAACCCTTCTACAACGAACTAGTGGGTTGGAAAGCTCTGCTTTTGATCTTCTGTAATAAGAACCACCCCTTCTTTCCCCCTTGCTCTGTACTCTTCCTTAAGCCTGGTAGCATAAGAGCTCATATGTTCCTTTGCCTCTAAAATTGTCCTCTTCACTGTGTTGCTCTTGGGCTAAATTGTATCTGAAAGTGGAACAGTGGCTAAATGATCGATTATTATTTGTTTCCAGAGGATTTCTTAAGTCCAGCATGATGTCTGGCACATAAGTGCTCAATAAATGTTGTGGAGTTTTTTCTTAATCCTTTATCTTCGTTATCTTGTTTCCATTTGTGAGGACAGAAAGAGGATTTCCAACTGTGATGTTTACAACTTGTGAAGGGAACTGATGGTTTTATTTATTAATGACCACACAGGAATTCTAATCAAGGTAAATGAATTAGGTAAAACAATAGTTGGTTTGTTGGAGTGGAGATCTTCCCATTTTCCTATTATTCGTTCTTGCTTATTGAAGCATTTTGACCTTGAGCTCTGTGAGTATATATATGATTGCAATGTCATGGACATTCATACTTCATTTTAGAACCCAGCTGACTCACACTGCAGGGAAATGTGGTGAGCTCCTGGGAGCCTTCTGGTCTCTTTTTCTCTGGACACATGTAGGCATATATCTGTGTGTTATTCAGTTAATAAATTTATCCATAATGATGTACATCTGTGTGGCCATATGTTTTTGCATTTGTATATATGTACATGCATGCCCATGCACACATGCTTTCTGTCTGTGATGTAAATATATTCTGGGGTGTGGAACAATTGGGGAATTGGTAAGGGCCAGGAATATGTATATTTCTGAATGTGTTGATCTGTCTCAAATTGCGTTTTTGATGGCCTTAAATGTTTCTTGTTTCCAAAGCTAGCTTAAAGCCTCTAGATATTTTCATGTAGGAAAGGCCTGTCTTTATTTTTTATGTATTTATTTTTTTGACATCTTTATTGGAGTATAATTGCTTCACAATGGTGTGTCAGTTTCTGCTTTACAACAAAGTGAATCAGCTATACACATACACACATCCCCATATCTCCTTCTCCCTCTTGCGTCTCCCTCCCACCCTCCCTATCCCACTCCTCTAGGTGGTCACAAAGTACCGAGCTGATCTCCCTGTGCTATGTGGCTGCTTCCCACTAGCTAGCTGTTTTACATTTGAAGCCCTGTCTTTAAAAGGTAGCATTTTCTTCTCAGTTAGTCAGCATGGAGGAAAAGGATCTTCTCATTCATTTATTTCTCTTCCACTTCTGTCTTACTCGCTTCTCTCCTCCAGTCTGGGGAAGAGCAGCTTCGACTATTGGTTTAGAAGACATCTCAGAAGCAATGAGATACTCCTGTGTAGTTTGCTACATGTAGTCTGAAAGTTCTTCCTGGAGTTTCTGATACATCTCTCAAGGGAATGGTGCCCTTGATTCCTCTAAATATCTGGGAGTCACTCTGTTACTGCTTTGTGGAACACTTTTATCCGTTACTTATCTTTTTTTTTATTATTATTATTTTTTGCGGTACGTGGGCCTCTCACTGCTGTGGCTTCCCCCATTGCGGAGCACAGGCTCCGGATGCGCAGGCTCAGTGGCCATGGCTCACGGGCCCAGCTGCTCCGCGGCATGTGGGATTTTCCCGGACCGGGACATGAACTCATGTCCCCTGCATCGGCAGGCAGACTCTCAACCACTGTGCCACCAGGGAAGCCCTGTAACCTATCTGTTGACCCAGTGGTTTCTAGAATTTGTGATTTACAAAACGGTGACATCGGAAAAAGATTTGGGGACTTGGGAACCATAGTGTTGCCAGCTTTATATTTTGCCACGTGAAAACATTAAAAGGAACATCATCTACCATTACTGTCATTTCATACAAGGAAGAATATTTTAGCATTAGAAAATTGAGACAGGCATAATTTCAGAGTAAAGTTAGCTTTATGAAAAAATGTACTCTGTTGTCCTTATCCTTTTAAATTTGTCATCAACTAACACCGTTCCATGGACTAGCTTCAGGGCCCAGGACTGTCCTACTCATCCTGTCCTATCCTGCCAAACCTCCTCCTCCTATTGATTCCTTCTACCAAAGCTCGCAAGAAGCTGCTCCGTGAGTCAAATGTAGATTTGTTGACTCAGAATGAAAAGTAAAGCTACTAAGAGGATTGGACATTCATCCTGATTGACATATTTTATCCCTAAGCAAGCTACATGAGAAAATTAAAACTGGAAGATTCTTGGATGAACATGGAATCAAAACAGGAGGGATCTGTTAGAGATTTAAGGTTTGGCCTCACTTTCTGAGCCAGACGCCTCCGCTTCCTCACCCAGAAGTTTTTGATGTTGTTAGAACCCTTCACCTCTGCCCTCCCTCCCCCCAGGGCCTGGCATGGACACTGCCCAGGTTGAGAAGAGCTGTTCTGCTCTGTTTCAGTTTTGATTTTACAGTGGGGGTTTTTTTTTTTTCTTACTTTCTTTTTAAAAGTGACCTGGGGCTTCCCTGGTGGCACAGTGGTTGAGAGTCCGCCTGCCGATGCAGGGGACATGGGTTCGTGCCCCGTTCCGGGAGGATCCTACATGCCGCGGAGCGGCTGGGCCCGTAAGCCATGGCCGCTGGGGCTGCGTGTCCGGAGCCTGTGCTCCGCAACGGGAGAGGCCACAGCAGGGAGAGGCCCGCGTACCGCAAAAAAAAAAAAAAAAAAAAAAAAAAAAAAAGTGACCTGATTTACTTTACCTGTTGAAGATGAGGGAACCTCATCGCTTCTTATAAGTCCAGCCTGCATGTAAATGTCGTTATATTTGAGTAAATGGTGTTCTCTCTCAGTTATTCGAGAAGCATAAATTTCTTGTTTCATGTGATTTAGGGAGTCAGCTGTGCTTCCCTTGTTTACTGACACGTTTTATATATATTGTCCCTACATGTAGTTTTAAACTGCCTCCCCACCCCCCCAACCCCCAGTTATTTCTGACTTCTCGCTTCAATATTAGTCTAGATTGGTCTCTTCTAAGTATTACAAGGTTAGGAATAACACATCATTGATCTCAAAGCAGTGTCTGAAGTAGCAGAGATTTATTTCAGACCATAGGAATCCTGTGTGTTGAAATTGGAGATGTGTCCCCCCTGCAACTTTATTGAGGTATAATTGAAGTACAATAACTCTACATATTTAAAGAGTATCATTTGGTTAGTTTGGACATATGTATATACATGTGAAACCAATCAAGATAATGAACACTTTGATCACTTCCAAAAGTTTCAGAGTGCCCCTTTGTAAGCTAACCCTCCCTCCATTCCTATCCCTTAGTAGCCCCGATCTGCTTTCTGTCACTGTAGATTAGTTTACATTTTCAAAATGTTATATTAATGGAATCCTACCATACATTCTCTTTTTTTGCCTGGTTACTTTCACTCTGAATAATTACTTTAAAATTTCTCCATGTCATCTATATCAATAGTTAAATCCTTTTCATTGCCGAGTAGTATTCCATTGTGTTAGATCTATTACGGTTTCTTTATCCATTCACCTACTGATGGATACTTGGGTTGTTTGCTTTCACTGTAACAGAGCTGCTGTGAATATTTCCGTATAAGTGTTTGGGTGGACGTATATTTTAATCTCTCTTGGTTAAATACCTACGAGTAGCTGTATAGGAAACCGCCAAACTGTTTTCCAAGTAGCTGTACCATTTTACATTCTCAAAAACAGTGTATGAGGGTTCTAGTTGGTCCATGTTGTTGCCAACGCTTGGCAAGGTCAATCTTCTTACTTTTAACCAAGCTAATGGGTGGTATGCAGCAGTATCTCGTTGTGGTCTTAATTTGTATTTCTTTGATTAATGATGTTCAACATCTTTACTGTACTTACTGGCTATTCATATACTTTGTGTGTATATGTGAAGTATCTGTTAAAATATTTTGCCATTTAAAAATTTTGTCTTCTAAAAGTTCTTTATTCTAGATACAGGCTCTTTGTCTGATATATGTATTGAAAATATTTTATACTAGTCTTTGGATTTCCTTTTTGTTTTCTCACTGACGTCTTCCAAAGAGCAAAAATGTTCAATTTTGATGAAGTCCAATTTGTCAGTCTTTCCTTTTATATTTTACATTTTTGTGTGTTCTAATTAGAAACTTTGCCGACTCCAAAAATTGTATTTTCTTGTATATTTTCTCCTAGGATTTATATAGTTTTAGGTTTTACAGTTAAGTTTATGAGATCTTTTTCAGGTTAATTTTTATGTATGGTGTAGGCTAAGAGTTGATTTTCTTTCCCCATATGAATATCCAGTTGATCAAGCACCAGTCATTGAAATAACTTTCCTTTCCCCATTTAATTGTTTTTGCACCTTTATCAGATCAGTTGATCGTATATGTATGGGTCTACTTCTGGACTCTGTATTCTGTTCCATTGATCTATTTGACTATCTTTATGTGAATATACAGTGTCTTACTGTAATTGTATAGTAGATTGTGAAAGTCAGGCAGTGTTAGTCCTTGTTAGTCTTCTAATTTTGTTCTTTCAAAGTTGTTTTGGCTATTCTAGGTCCTTTGCGTGGCCATATAAATTTTGGAATCAGTTTATCACTTTTTACAAAAAAAGTTTCTTGAAATTTTGATTGGAATTGCTTTAAATCTGTAGATCAATTTGGAGAGAATTATCATCTTAACAAAATGGAGGCTTCCTATCCAAGAACTTGGTTTCTCTTTCCATCTAGTTAGGTCTTCTTTAATTTCTCTCTGACTTGTTCTATAGTTTTCAATGTAGACTGCTTGACCATCTTTTGTTAGATTTACTCCAAAGTATTTTATGTTTTTTGGTGCTGTTGTAAATGGACTCATTTTTGAAATTTCAAATTCTTTCTTGGTAGTATATAAAATGAATTTTTGTGTATTACTCTTATACCTTATTTTCTTGCTAAATTTATTAGTTCCAGTAGTAGATATTCCAGTAGATGCCCTGGATTTTTCTATTTAAGCAGTCATCATCTGCAAATAGAAATGGCTTTATTTATTCCCTTCTGATCTTTATGCCTTTTAACTCTTTTTCTTGCCTTGTTGCAATGTCTAAGACATTTGAATAGAAGTGGTGACTGCCTTGTTTGCAGGGGAAACTTTGACCTTTAAGTTGATATTGGCTGTAGGCTTTTTTGTAGATGAGATGCTCTCTATTATTTTGAATAAGTTTCCTTCTTTTCCTAGTTTCATTTATCATGAATAGATACTAAATACTGTCATTTTCTTTCCTTTTTTTTTTTTTTTTTGCATTTATTGGAACAATCACATTGTTTTCCTTTGTTCTGGTAATGTATCACATATTCCCCTGTTAATATGGTGAATTATATTAACTAACTTTTTATTAAACCAACCTTGCATTGGAAGAAACTCTATTTGGTTATGTTGTATTTTCCTTTTTATATTAGAGTCTATTGAAAATATTTTGTAAGATTCTATTCCGATATTTTAAGTTGGATTCTGTTGTTAATATTTTGTCAAGGATTTTTATATCTATATTCAAGAGGGTTATTAGTCTGTGATTTTCTTTTTTTGTAATGTCTTTGTCAGGTTTTGGTATTTGAGGATACTAGCCTTAGAGAATGAATTCAGCCATGATCTTTCTTCCTTTTTTTTTTGAAAGTTTGATGAAATTAATTTTATTTCTTCATTGTGCATTTGATAGAATTTTCCATTAAAGCCCTCTGCATTTTCTTTGGGGAATACATTTTGATAAATTCAATTCCTTTATTAGAAATGAGCTGTTCAGATTTTCCATTTCTTCTTGTGAAGTGGCATTTTCAATAAATTTGTCCATTTCATCCAAGTTTTTGAATTTGTTAGCATAGCATTTTCTTATTATCCTTTTAATGGCTGTATTCTGAAGTGATAACCCGTTTTTCATTCTAGGTAGAGGTGATCAAGCCGTCTAGCTGGAGATGAGGATGAGGGTGGGAGTGGGTATCAATTTTGTTGATATTTTCAAAGAACCAGCTTTTTGGCTTTGTTGACTTTCTCTGTTGTGTGTTTGTGTTCTGTTTTATTGATTTCTGCTCTTTATTATTTCCCTCCTTATTTACTTTTGGTTAACTTTGCTCTTTTTTTTTTAAAGCTTCTTAAGGTGGGTAAATTTGTTGTTTTTTAAATTTATTTATTTTATTTTTGGCTGCGTTGGGTCTTTGTTGCTGTGCGCGGGCTTTCTCTAGTTGCCGTGAGGGGGGCTACACTTCGTTGCGGTGCGCGGGCTTTTCATTGAGGTGGCTTCTCTTGTTGCGGAGCGCGGGCTCTAGGCACGCGGGCTCTAGAGCGCAGGCTCAGTAGTTGTGGCACACGGGCTTAGTTGCTCTGCAGCATGTGGGATCTTCCCGGACCAGGGCTCGAACCCGTGTCCCCTGCCTTGGCAGGAGGATTCTTAACCACTGAGCCACTGGGGAAGCCCAGGAAATTTGTTTTTAAAGCTTTGTCTTTGAAGGGCTTTGTTCGATTTATTTAATAAACATTTACTAAGACCCTGTGAGTCAATATACCAGGCACTGTCATAGCTGTGAAAACAAGTAGGACAAATTGCTTACAGGATAGTGGACATTGATACATGTCTACAGTCTGTTATCAAAAGTAGCACATCATTTGATTATTAGTCTCTTTGGATAAGAAAGCTTACAACCATCACTGCTTAATGTTTTCTTATATGTTCATTTTTAATTGAGTATCTGTTATTACATAATTAAAAGTAAATTCTTCCATGTTAATGACATGCTCCAACTGTCCTGTTCTGTCTTACAGATAATTTATTGTTTGTAATCAACTCCATCAAGCAAGAGATTGTAAACCGAGTACAGAATCCAAGAGAGGAGAGAGGACCCAACATGGGACAGAAGCTTGAAATCCTCATTAAAGATACTCTTGGTAAGAAGAACACTGGATAAACTAATAACGACTAATAATGTATAGTGTAAGGTATATGATTCAAGGGAATATTCAGAATTCTTTTAAGGAAAAACTCAAGTGGTCTCATTATAGTTACCTCCCTTTATGAGAAGATTTGTTTTTTTGAGAGTTAGCATTCATAAACATGTTCTGCTGGCTACCACGATTGATTGATTGATTGATTGATAGACAAGAAGTGATTTATTAGGATGCTTACTAGGCTTACAAGTGGGCAGGTGAGCGTTGTGCTGCCCCACAATTTATTATTTAGACTTCGTCACTGAACTGTTTTAACACTTAGGAAAGATAAACTTCTAGCAACTTTAACCTTCTGTGGGGAAGATAAAGATCCCTGACCTTGTCAAGCCTGCAGTATATACTTCAATAGAGGTTCTTACCTATTTGTTTTACTCTTTCACAGGATTCTAACAGACTTGATTATCTGGTTTTCCATCCCTGAACAGTTTATACCACATGGGGAGGAACAGAGAGGCAGGCATCCAGAAGTCAGGCAGAGTGATACCTGACAGGGAGGGTAGAGGTAGCTAATGTAGACAAAGACATGCAAACCCTAGAGGCCCCAGGAGCTTGGCTGCCATAGGAGCAAATCACCCTATGATCAGTAGCATCCCAAGGACATTACAGCATAACACAAGCCATGAAAACCCTGAAGCATCATAAAATTGTTTCAGCTATATTTTATGTTCTTTGTTTAACAGTTTTTATTCTAGGACTGTCTCTTAAAAACTGGTTCTTACATAGTTGTTGTGTAGAGTAGTAAATTTCACTTACCTGAGAATTTTCTTCCCCAGGATGCTGACTGTATATTGAATCACGTCACTTAAAAGAATTACAGCTTACTTTTCAATCATTAATTAGTTATTTACCTGAATTTTAGAGTGCCAAACACTATAATTTAAAAAAAATTTTTTAATTGTAAATATCTTAGAATTTGTTAAGACAATTTTTCTGACTTCCAGTTATTATAAATTCATTCATTCCACAAAATTTTTTCAATGTCTACTATGTTGCCAGGTGTTGGGGGATACAGGGGTTAAGTAGAGACTTGGTTGCTACTCTTCTTAGATGCTTGTAGTCTAAAAATGGAAGGCAAGGAATAGAAAACCAAAAATAATAATAATAACATTGTGGTAACTGCTATGAAGAAATCAAGATGCTTAGATGCAGTGGAGTGAGCAAGAATATTTTATTTCTACTTATACAGAAATGCTCCTGTATACCAAATCTGCTACCCAAATCATTGCATTTTCTTTAATTGAAAATAAGTACACATTTAATGCTTCCATGCACTTAGTAAGTTTCTTATGGTTTTTGAAATGTCATTAATTTCTCTTGTCAGCGTTGTGTTCATACTGAACGTAAAATATACTAGTGTTTCTGTAGGGCAATTTGGAATCATTAGTAAAATTAGCAAGGCATATAGATTTTAACCCGACAATTTCATGAAATTTGACAACTTTCATGTTTAAAGGCCAAAGGAGAAGATCTAAAAGAGAGATTAAGAGATGAGAAAAAAGAATTCCTTAGTCTAGGAAGGGATAAACAGCTAACATTTATATAGTACTTATTATGATCCAGGATCTGTCTGCTCAGATTTAGTGATTTACTTCCACAGTTCTGTGAAGGAGGTATTATTATCCTGGTTTTACAGATGAGGAGTTGGAAGCCCAACAAGGTATTAAGTAACTTGCCACAAGTCCTACAGCCAACAAGTGGCAGGACGAGGAGCTAGAAGTAAGTGCTCCTAGTTGCAAGTGCTTGCACTGTACCCATGGATCATCACTTGGCCCTGTCATCTGACACTCATCTCTAGATAGTTTCTGAACTGTATAGTTCCCAAGTGGCCCACTAATTGCCTCATCCAGTAGACTTACTTGAAAATTTATTTTTCTTGACATTCTGTGTAACATTTGATTCTTTTGAGCATTTATCTTCATTCTTAAAACATTTTCTTTATCTTAAGGTACTTAAGGTTCTGCATGCCTTGTTTCCTATCTTTTTACACACAAAATGCTAGTGGTTTCTCTGTGGCTCTAGCAATACCCACTGGTCATGTGCAGAAATTAAGATACGTTTCCAAAAAACAAAAGCTCACTTAGCATAATGGTTAAAATCAGAGTATTTGAAATCAGTTCTAGATTCAAGTCCTGGCCCTGCCACTTACTACCTGAGGACCCTAGGGAAGTAACTTCACTTCCCTCAACCTAATTTTATTCACCTATAATGTAAAGTGTGGACAGCTGTGTGGATTAAATGGAAAGAGTGCATGTAAAGCACTTAGCATACTGCTGAACACAAATTCTCAATACTTAGTATTTGTTGTTGATGTTACCATATTACATCGTAAACATTTTTTAATTAATTAATTAATTTGTTTATTTTTGGCTGTGTTGGGTCTTCGTTTCTGTGCGAGGGCTCTCTCTAGTTGCGGCAAGCGGGGGCCACTCTTCATTGCAGTGCATGGGCCTTTCACTATCGCGGCCTCTCTTGTTGCGGAGCACAGGCTCCAGACGCGCAGGCTCAGTAGTTGTGGTGCACGGGCCTAGTTGCTCCGCGGCATGTGGGATCTTCCCGGACTGGGGCTCGAACCTGTGTCCCTTGCATTGGCAGGCAGACTCTCAACCACTGTGCCACCAGGAAAGCCCACATCATAAACATTTGAATTTTTTTCCTTAAAAGAATTTTATTTCTACATTGTCTTCCTGTGTTAGGTAGAGAGAGGAATTTAATGTTATAAGAAAAAACTCTTCCTGTCTTTTTATTTTTTAACTTAAAGGTATTATATATTGATAAGTTTGTGTTTTCCCTTTGTACTGATTGCCAGTTTTACCAGATAAAATCCTTGACTCACATTTTCCTGCCTTGAGTATTTTAAATGTTTCTGCATTTTTATTCTGGCATAAAGTGTTGCTGTTGAAAAGCTAATAATTGCCTAATTTTTTTCCCTTATGCCGTTTGCTCTTTTTGCCCAGATGTCAACAGGATTTTTTTCTTTTTCTTTAAATCCTAGTAATTTTACTAGACCATGTCTTGGAGTTGGTCATTTTAGGTTGATATTCTCATATACACTCTGTGCTTTTTCAGTAAGTAGCTTCAGATCTTTTAAATTGTTATTTATTAATTTTTAAAATTTCTTTATTTAATTGATTTATTTTTGGCTGCATTGGGTCTTTGCTGCTGTGCGCGAGCTTTCTCTAGTTGCAGTGAGCGGGGGCTACTCTTTGTTGCGGTGTGCGGGCTTCTCATTGCGGTGGCTTCTCTTGTTGCAGAGCACAGGCTCTAGGCGCCTGGGCTTCAGGAGTTGTGGCTTGCGGGCTCTGGAGTGCAGGCTCAGTAGTTGTGGCGCACGGGCTTAGTTGGTCTGCGGCATGTGGAATCTTCCCGGACCAGGGCTCGAACCCGTGTCTCCTGCATTGGCAGGCGGATTCTTAACCACTGTGCCACCAGGGAAGCCCATATGTTTTTAATATTTGATTTGTTCCCTTGCTTTGGTTTTCTTCTTTGGGGACTCTTACTATTTGTGGGTTGGATCTTCTTTGCCTGTCTTCAGTATTTTCTGAAGTATATTCACTTCTTCTCAAATTAAAAAAAAAAAAAAATCTCTTAATTTCTTTCTTATTTTAAAATTCTTCCCCTTTTCACTGCTGTTTCTCTTAAATGCATTATCTGTTGTGTTTATTTGCGGCTCTTATATCCTTTTAGATTTGTTTTAACTTCAGGAGTTAATTTTTTCATTTTTTCTCTTTTTTTTTGAGGTGTGATTGACATAACATTATATTAGTTTCAGGTGTATAATGTACTGATTTGATACTGGTGTATATTGCAAAATGATCACCACAGTAAGTCCAGTTAGCATCCGTCCATATGCATAGTTACAAAATGTTTTTTTCTTGTGCTGAGACCTTTTAAGATCCTCTCTCCTACTACTTTCAAATATGCAGTACAGTATTATTAACTACAGTCACCATGCTATATGTTACATCCCGTTCATTATGGATTATAGTCTTTATCATCAAGAAGCACACATCTTTTGTCTTGTTTACAGCTTTTTCCCTGAATTCAATCTTGTGTGATCTTACAATCATGAATGTTGCTTTCTTATTATTTATCTTTGCTTGGTAGCCTTCCCTTTTATTTTCAGTCTTTCTGAATTACTTTATATGATATACATCTCTTTTTAAAAGATCTTAATTAGATTAAAATTTAAATTTAATTTCGATTTGCATACCATAAAATTCACTCCTAGATTTTTATATGTAACTTATAGTTTGATTTTCTTTATTAGTCAGTCTAGGAGTTTTTCTTTAATTGGATGAATTTAGCTCATTTTTATTTTATTATTTTTTTGGCTGCTTTGGGTCTTCATTGCTGTGTGCGGGCTTTCTCCATTTGCGGTGGCTTCTCTTGCTGCAGAGCACGGGCCTTAGGCTCACGGGCTTCAGTAGTTGTGGTGCACAGGCTCAGTAGTCGTGGCTCGCAGGCTCTAGAGCTCAGGCTCAGTAGTTGTGGTGCACAGGCTCTAGGGCATGTGGGCTTCAGTAGTTGTGGGTCGTGGGCTTGGTAGGTGTGGCTCGCGGGCTCTAGAGCGCAGGCTCGTAGTTGTGGTGCATGGGCTTAGCTGCTCTGCGGCATGTGGGATCTTCCTGGACTAGGGATTGAATCTGTGTCCCCCGCACTGGCAGGCGGATTCTTTTTTTTTTTTTTTTTTTAATTTTTATTTATTTATTTATTTATTTTTGGCTGTGCTGGGTCTTCGTTGCTGCGCACGGGCTTTCTCTAGTTGCCGTGAGTGGGGGCTACTCTTCGTTGCGGTGTGCGTGCTTCTCATTGTGGTGACTTCTCTTGCTGCAGAGCACAGGCTGTAGGCTCATGGGCTTCAGTAGTTATGGCTCGTGGGCTCTGGAGTGCAGGCTCAGTAGTTGTGGTGCACGGGCTTAGTGGCTCCGCAGCATGTGGGATCTTCCCAGACCAGGGCTCGAACCCATGTCCCCTGCATTGTCAGGTGGATTCTCAACCACTGCGCCACCAGGGAAGCCCGGCAGGTGGCTTTTTAACCACTGTGCCACCAGGGAAGTCCCAGCTCATTTTTATTTATTGATGTATGTTTGTTTATATTTCTGTTATCAAAAGAGCTGTTAGGGGCTTCCCTGGTGGTGCAGTCGTTGAGAGTCCGCCTGCCAATGCAGGGGACACGGGTTCGTGCCCCGGTCCGGGAAGATCCCACATGCCACGGAGCGGCTGGGCCCGTGAGCCATGGCCGCTGAGCCTGCGCGTCTGGAGCCTTCGCTCCGCAACGGGAGAGGCCCTCGTACCGCAAGAAAAAAAAAAAAAAAGAGCTGTTAAGATTTGTTCATATGGCTTTCTTGCCTTTTTATGTCATTCACTGTATGATCCATCATTATTATAGTTTCATTTTGTATGTGTCCTCTGATTATTTTCAAGCTCTACATTTTTGTCTTGCAGGTTCACTTTTTAGCTAATAACATGTACACTTAATTTTTTTCTCAACTTTTCATTTAAGATATCAATCCTACTAGAAAAGTAGAAAGAAATAGTCCAGTGAACACTTGCGTGTCATTCCGCTAGATTCACCAGCTGTTAATATTTTGCTGCATTTGTTTTATTTCTGCCTCTGTGTACATTTTTTTCCCTATATATTTGAAGGTAACTTATAAACATATGATTCTTCATCCATAACTACTACTTCAGCATGTATTTCTCAAGAACAAGGACACTTTCTTACTTAGACACAATACTGCTGTAACTTCCGTTGATGTGACATCTTTGTGGAGTCCATATTTAAATTTCCCCAGTTGTCTCAGTAATGTCCTTTATAACCTTTTTGTTTGTTTTTGATCCAATTAAGGATCATGAGTTGCATTTAGTTGTGTCTTTTTTTTTTTTTTTTTTTGTCTCCTTTAATCTAGATCAGTCTCCCAGGCTTTTTTTCTTCCATTAAAAAATCCAGGTAGTTGATCTTGTAAAATGTCCCAACATTTGAACTCATCTGTTTGCCCATGATTAGTTACAGTTACATTTTCTTGGCAAGAATACATTGTAGCTTATATATCCTTCTCATTATGTCAATCAAGAAACAGTATCAGTTTGTCCCATTATTGGTCAGGCTGATTTTGATCACATGGTTAAGGTGGTGTCAATTCTCTGTTTTTTACAGTATCTTTTGACTTCTTATGAGCAATTACTGCATAGTATTTTTCTGCTTCCATCTCCTTTAATTGCTCAGTTTTGTATTACATTTAAAACACGTACACCTTTGTTACGTAAAATCAATGTATCAAATATCTTTGACCTCAGCTATAGAGGATGAGGAAGACGAAAAAATCAACATACCTGCAGTGTCTCCCACCTTTCCTTCTTTTCCAAGTTTGCTTATTTATCCAGTTTTCTTTAAAATGAAGAAAAAGGAACGTAAAATTGATCGTCATTATAAAAATGAATGAAAACATCCTTCAGCTATATATTTTCAGTCACGTGGGTGAAGCCCATCCATGAGATGTAGTGAGGTTGGAGCAGTTGGAAGAGACTGGTGGTTTGATCCTTCTAATCTTGTAGGCTCTAATTATGGTGGGTAGAATTATTTTCTGGGCTGCAGTAGCAAACGGCAGAACACTCATCTGGGACCAGTGTCTAGCTGAGAGTACCCCTGACCCTCAGATTTTCCTACTCCTCACCTTCATATGTGTCTAAGTGTGCCTATTATTCTTTTCTTCAGGTCTCCCAGTTGCTGGGCAAACCTCAGAATTTGTTAACCAAGTGTTAGAGAAGACTGCGGAAGGCAATCCCACTGGAGGCCTTGTAGGACTAAGGATACCAACATCAAAAGTGTAATCAGCCTCATTGGACCACTGGTCAGAAATGTCTGTGTTTGTCACGTTATTCATTGTAAATTTTCATTCTGTTTTGCATGTCAGTTTAGCATTATGTAAACATTTACAATTAGGTTACATTGTTTTAAGAACTAAGTAGCATAAGTGAAGCATGATCCAAAATACTTGATTATTACATTTTCAGAGCATAAACCGTTGGTTAAAACTGCTACTGGCATCAGAATCGAAACTCCTACATTTAAGTAGATGTTTAGATACAGGTTACAAAATCTGTTAAAGCAAAACATTTTGGAAGAGTGAAGATAATAGTAAATGCCAAATATTGTGGCAGGTTTACGCTCTGAACCACACAAAAAAATTGAGGAAGCATTTTTTTAAACAGTCAGTTTAGATTGTTTTTAGAATTATTGCTTTTTATTCTAATTTTCCACAACCATTAATCTCACTTGTACATGGCACAACCCAGCACTCATGCCCATGTGCCATATTAGATGTTCATTTTCCGAGCTCAATATGGTATATATAAATATATATATAAATATATATATATAATGTCTGTGCAAGTAAGAAAAAAAAAGCATATTCTTTGTGCCTTGTATTTTGGGGAAACTATAAAACTGGTAATATTTTGTATGATGAAAACCCTAATGAGGAAAAACAAGATATATAGATGGAAAAATTATGGGGTTTAAATGTTTTTTTGTTCCAACTCTTTTTCAAATTTTTTGAATGTATATAGGACTATGTTGAAATGTAGATATATGCCACAGAGTCTGTGTATTGTATAAAAAACAAAACAAAAAAACAAAAAAAAGATGGCTCTAGAAAACTCATATTTCGGTACTTGACCGGAAGAAGACAAATACTTGCACATTATTGCGATTGTTTTATTTTTTGTACCAAAGACAAATGCAACTGATATGGCATACTGCCAGTCTAAGTAAAGTTTTGCACAGCTTACATGATACTGTATGAATGTATGAAAAAAAAGGAGAAAAAAAAAGAAAAACGAAAAGGTCAGGGTTAGGGATCTTACTGAACTGTGAATTTTATTTCTGTTTGGGTCCAATTATCTACAGAAGGAGCATCCACACATACAGATATTATTTTGCTGTTCCTCTAGTTCGCTTCCATAGTAGATAAGTTGGTGGCCATTTAGGTGTCTATAAGTCTTTTAATTTCTGCACTTATTGTAGGAAATTTTAATATATTTCATTTTAGTAAGCTATTGGTAAAATAGTTTTTGACCTTGAAAATTAAAAAGTTTATTTAGCTTATTGTAGTATACTTCCACCAAACAACCAAAATACAGATTATTTTTATTGTATTATGTATATATATATGTAAAGACAGAAAAAAGCTAAAAATATCTAATTCTTTAGTTGCCACTTTTCCAATTGATGTATTATTGTGCATGTAATATTTTCAAAGATCAACACAAGCTTAAAACAAAAACAAAAAGATTTATAGATTTTTATATTTTTGTACAGGTATTTTCAAACTAGCTTCTTCAAACTTAACATGTGACTTATTCTTCTTCTATAGTTTCTAGAACTGAGAAATATTAACACATTTAGTTTTTAGGTGCTCTTTTTTGTTCACATAAAACAGCTTCATTAGTCAGTGTTTTAACTATGTTAAAGCTTTACCTCTTGATGAGAAATTTCTTATGTCAAGGCAACGTTATAAACCTTCCCTACAGATCTTTCCGTCCTGTCTCTCTTACTGTTTTATTTTCAAATCTTGTGTTTTGAACTCTGAAAACTGGTAGCTTAAAAATTATACCTTAAAAAAAAATCCTATTTAGCCAGAAAAAAAAAATACCAAAAATTTCCGACCTAGCTGCCGGGAAAGTATCTATTTCTCCAACTATTTCTCCATTACCCCTTGGAGAATTTATTTTTAATTATATTTTGTCTATACGGTGTGTTTCCTTTTCTGTTACTTTCTCCCTCCCCACCACGGTTTCCCATTTGTAAGTGATAGCACATGAAGCTATAGCTTATAAAGGTTTGTTTGATTCTAAAACACACAGTAACAAGTGAGCAATGTTGCTTTCATGCTTCTTTGACATTATGAAAAAGAAACTCCAAGAAGGATTGTCTTAACACCTTAGCTGAACTGTGCTGCACAAGATTACCCTGTGTGCTTGGTGGAAATGTACCTGGTTAGTGCATTCACACTAAACAGATAAGCTTAGATCTAATGGTTTAATAGAATGTAAGTTTATTGTTTAAAGTTTTTCATTTTTAGGTGAGAGAAGGCAAAGCACAGGTTTGTAACTTGGAGGTATATGAAGTTTTGACAGAATGTGTCTGGGAAATTGAAACATGTTCCAAAATATGGCAGTTTTGCAATCAGGTGAAAATCACTTCATGATAGAGATTCAGCTGATGAGGTTTATAAAATTGCCCCTTTCTAGCTGCTCTGTTAGGAATTCTGGTCTTTTATACCTTTTTCTTGTCTGCAAACCAGAATTTGATTTTTTGGTCTTGCATTTCAAAAAAAGACTTTGAATCTGTTTAGTAGATTCCATATCCTTGCATTTCAGTGTTTTATATGTACTACTTAAGTTAAATAGGTAAAAGCTTTTAAATAGTTGAGCTTTTTAATGTTGACACTTTATTTTGTACCTATTTATATATGTATGTATATCTTAGAAAAGCACTTTGTTAAAAAAAAAATTGCATTTTATATGATTCCTGCCATTTGCTGCTAAATCTGGGCTGGTCAGAATGCTGCAGCGATACTTGATCTAAATAAAAACCTGGCAGTAAAATGTAGAGTGAAAGTTAAATCCTCTTGCTGTTTTAACTTTATCATAAAGATGACATAGGCAAGCTGTGCAGCTTTACATTTTAACCAGGGGACTCTGTGGCATTTAAAACCGTCTAGAAATGGTTGTACTTTAATGCCAGTAATAATCTGCTTCCTCTATTGTCATTAAAATGTATACGTTTAGTGTATCACACAAACAAATCTTATAAGGGTAACGTAAAAACCCCAACAATTGTACGTGTTCTGTTTTTGAAAATTGTGGCATGTATTTTTGGGTGAAGATCATTAGAGAAGAGCTCTCTAAAGGTTTTCTGTGTTCATACATGGTATACAGATAGCTCATAATGAAGTCCAGAATTTTGCTTTAAGTGAAGGCATTGTGAATTCACCTCAAATAAACCCATTGTTCCCAAAGCAGTTATAAACTTTGACTCTAGTACTACTATGATTTAAAAAAACAAAAAACGTTCTTCCTCTTTTCAGATACACTGGATTCTTTATAGAGTTTGTCTCCATATGAAAGCATGCTGTCCAGTTGTTCTTGTTAAGATCTTGTCTGAGTTTTGAATTGGGTGCCACACTTTTTCAGTCAGTATGATTGCTTGTTCTACTACTGTACCATGTACGATTCCTGTCCTCTCCTATATCCTTCATGACAGATTATGATGTGGCTTTATATTGTGCCTTACTTGTACATTTAAAACAAAACATCTCCATTCCCTTTCACTTCCTAAATCTTTCACTTTGACCTTTTTGGTAAGAGAATCAGAGCTATTATAAAAACATCATGAAGGATTTCAGATGGGTATGGTTTCAAATTCCCTCTCTTTACTGTTATTTTATATTTGTATGAAAGACCAGTTTTGAATGGTCTTTGAATATGAGGGGGAGAGATTAGCAGTAATTTCACTACATCCCTTTTTCCTGACTTTCATGAATTTGTCATACATCTTCTTTCTGATGCTTGACTTCATTTGCTCCTTAGCAGTAGTCTGCATTTAAAGAAAGGTATGCTCAGTTCATCAGCTTGAAATTGACTATTTTCATTTTTCCAGAATTTTTTAGGAGAAGAGTACTCGTTTTGTTTGTTTTATAAAACAGATGACAAGTCTCTTTAAAAGAAACAGAAGTACAGTACTTTTGAAATACAATGCTGTTAGTTTGGATTTCTTTTTTTATATATAATATTCATACAGTTATCTGATGTTTGCCTTCATTAATAAAGCTGTTAGTTTATTCACCAAAATGTCAAGAATGGATGTGCTTTTCTTTATTCCATACATTTCTAAATATTTTAGCTGCTAAGAGTTAGTTAACTTTCTAAGAAACGAAATCAAGTTGCCTTCAGCAGGAATTTTGTCTTTTTCTTAATTGTAGGAATTAACAAAAACTTATGTTCCCTTTCTTTATATAGTCTTCCTAAAATTCTGTTCAAGTATTTTCTAGTTAATTATGTAACAGAATGTTAGCATCTCTCCAAATCTTGAAACTTGAATTTTGAGAACGCATTGAATTATGCTTTCAGTGTTAAAGTTTCAGATTATCCTTCTAGTGAAGTCTATTGTGGAATACCATTTCCCATGGAACTAAGGCCATTTCCACAACTTTGCACAGAACTGCAGTCTTGTTCTTCCCTCGGATCATGACAAATAAGCCTCACACAGTGCCGTAATACTTGTGGATTCTTTTGTAATCTTTGTAATCTTAATAAGGGCATTATGAGAAGATGACTCCATGTTTTTTTAATATTTCAAACACATTGGGATGTAACCATGAATGTCAACTGTAGGAATGATTGTTTCGTTTTAAGGAATAAGCATGTTGGGGGGAAGATGATGAAAATGTACTACTGACAGTTTTACACTTCCATAGACAAGTGGGATTATGTGTTGAAGCATAATCCTCGTGCTTAGTAAACTGACTGAAATTGTAGAAATTACACCTAGGAGCTGAATTATGCCAAATTGCCATTTTCCTTTAGAAAAGAGAGATTTGGGGGTAGTGGTGAGGGAATAGAACCTTAAAACTACTTCCAAATAGTATTTTGGAATTGATGACTTGGTGACTAGTGAGGAACATCAAAGTTGGGTATTTCAATGTGCCAAGTTCGGGTGAACTAAGTTTGCCTCTTTCATAACAATGTAAACACAATGGTGTAGTTAATTAAATTATGGGTGGGTGTGAGCGGGACTGATTACTGTGTCTTGCCCTTCGCCCTTTGTTTTTTTCAGAACCAAATAACAGAAATGTATATGTGTGTACTGTATCTGCCTTTTCACCACATTTTTATGACACTGTATTCCACTGCCTGCTTTTTTTTTTTTAACCTTCTTTCCCTGGGGTTTGTCCTATAACTTAGCATTTGTGGTTAACAGTGATACTAGGGCTGACTGCACATAAGACGTCACAAGAGAAGAGCGGAAGGGCAAGAATTCAAAGTGTTTGTTCATACAATGTGGCGACCTCTTTTGCATAGTTGCGTAGGATCCTGTTTGTAATGCTATCATAAATATTCTGTAGTTTTGTTCCCCACTCCCCTAACTGTAGCTATGAAACTTTTTATTGGATTCAGTCTTGTCTATTGTCTAGAAAGAATTTTATCTCGTTGACGCATGAGCTGTTTAAAAATTATTCTATTAAATGTTGGTTAATAGTTGTGCAGTTTTTCTTTTCAGAAGAAAAGGCAATTCAAACATTGCCTTTATTTTCTGTCACTTTCCAACCCCTCAGCACTTCTAGTCAGATACAGATTCATCAGTGTATGCAACATCCTTTGTAATTTAAAATAAAAAAAGATGAAAAGAAAAGGTTTTGAATTGTTTGCCTCATGCTTTCGTCCTTCCTTTTTCTGTTGCTTTTCTGTTGCTTTCCAAGGCGATCATCCACCCTTCAGAATAACCCACTGCAACAAAATTCCAAACTAGAGACAGCAGTGAACTCTTGATCGCGCTGCCCCTGTCTTGGTGTAGTGTGCGAACAGCTAACATTTTTTTTTTAACACTTTGGGCTGCTTTTTCAATACTTTAGTTAAATTTAGCTATTACGTAGAATTATTCATTGACAAAAACATTTACATTCTTTATAGGTTAGAGCATAGTTTAGTTTATCCTTATTTCTCCTCCTTGATTCTTTGGCCAAGCGATTTCTCTGAGGGGAAAGAAGGTATTTTGAGTCTCTCCTGACTTAAGCCTTTGTATGTGTTTGTGTGTTTCATAATTCTAAGTAGGTCCCCAAGCTAGGCTGGGCATATACATAGAACTGTTAAATCAGGGGACCTGAGTAAACACCACTGTAGCAGTGTGTACCTTCGGCCAACAAACATTTGTTTAGCACTTTCTCTGCCAAGACTTGTGCTGCGTACTGGCCAGAAGGAGACTAAAGAGACCGCCACTAACGTTTAGTCTGCTGAGGGAGGCCACGTGTGAACAGGGCCACGAAACAACACAAGAGCTGTTAAACACGCAAAGGGTTCTAGGTACGTTACCACAGAGGTATTTGCCAGGACACTGGTACCACATCAAGTGGGGTATGTTAAGAGAATTGACAGGCTGTGTGCATGACATCCCTGGTCCCTTGAAGAAGCCCTTTTTGCTTCGAGTGACAGGCTGTCAGGAAGCAAAGTGGGCCTAGCCTCTCATGGACTGGTTCTGCTTCAGGACTTGCTCTCACAGGAGCCTCTGTCAGAGTCTGGGCACTTTAAGGAGCTGGGTGAGCCAGCCCTTCCAGTACAGCTCTTAGGAAACCAGCCCTTCTGTTAGGTAGCGCCCAGTGAGATGGGCTGTTCAATTGTCCCTCGTTGCCCACATTGATTTCGGAACCAGGAGAGAAAAACATTAGTTGGGAAATACTTTAATATCCCAGCTGAAAGGTTCAGAATAGGAAGAAGGCATTAGAAAGTCCTAGAAGGCTAGGGTGGCATTCATTAAGCCCCTGCTAGGTGCTTTCCTATCAGGGAACTCACCTGCTGCTCTCTGTGGCCCAGTGAGGTAGGTGATCATGTCCATTTTACAAAAGAGACTAGAACCAGATGCAGGGACTCATCCCAGACCCAGCTTAGATGATACAGAACTCCAATTCAAATGGCAATCTGCTTGCAGCGCTCAGAGACAATCCATGCTCCTCTATAAGGGACCTGGCAAAGTCACTGGCAATATTTGGATGGATGTCAGTGTAGGAGGGAGATAATGGGCTTAGGGTCTGAAAACCAGAAAGAACTAAAGCCAGAACCTAGTACATGCAGTAAACAAAAGCTAGTCTCAGGATCAGTAGGTAAAGGTGACGGAAGCAAAACAGCATTGGCAGTAGTCAGTGAGGGGGAGTGCAGGTCACCAAATTGTATATCTATCCCTCAAAGATGGCCTCTAGCTGAAGGCCTTAGAATTGAGTCTTTTTTGTTAGAATGGAGTATGTTGGAGGGTGGAGAAAAGAGGAGCTATGTTTTCTCTAATTGCCTCATGGAAATGCAGCTGGTGACTGTTGGTTGCAGAGGAATTTCCACCAAGTAGCATGATGGGAAAGGGGCTCAAGGTCACTTGGGCCTATCTACTGCGTGCAGAGTTTGGGTTTCTTCAATGTCCTGAACAGGGAGCTTCTGCTTGAGGATCCAAGACGTTTGACCTGAAGGATGTCAACCTCAGTTTCTTTAAAAGGTTTTAGTCTTAAAATGTCTCCAGGAATGAGCTTAAAAGAAAATGTACAAACTCTGAAGAAAACATTAAAATACTATGAAGGATACAGAAGACGACTTGAACAAGTGGAAAGATAGACCAAGTTCTTGAATAGGAACAGTCAACGGCATAAACCTGTCAGTCGTCCTAACTTAAATGAACAATTCAGTGCCATCCCGATAAGACATACCGATACGATTTCAAAAAACTAAAGTTCACATGGGGAAAAACATGGGGTGTTTGATCCTAACAGATATTAAAACACATAAAACTAATATTAAAACAGTGTCATTTTGGTGAATGGTGAATGAATGAATAGGCCAACAGAATAGAATGGAAAGTATAGAAATAGATTCAGATGTATTTATATTTAATTTATATATTATAAATAATACTAATATAAATTATTAATTTATATATTATTTATATTTAATTTATATGGTAAGTGTGGCATCTGAAACCAGTGAGAAAAGGATGGATTGTTCAGAAAATAGTGTTGGAACAACTGGGTAACCCTCTGGAGAAAGTAAACTTGGCTCTGTATCTCCCACCATAAGCTAACACATATTTCAAAATGGGTAAAGATCTAAATGTAAAAATAAAATTTCAAATAAAACTTTTTTAAGGCCCAAAACACCATAAAAGCCAAGTCAAAATTCTGTAGACTAAGAGACAAAGCTCATTTCTAAGGGCAAATCCTCCTAATATCTAAAGAACTCTGGGAGCTGATATGAGAAAGACTGACAACCTAATAGAAAAATGAGCAGATAGTAAAATAAATACAAGTAGTTCTCAACTTCATTCATGATAAGAGAAATGAAAATTGAAAGATGGCATTTTTCACTTAATCAAATTGGCAAAAATCCCAGTGTTTGTTAACACCGTGTGTACGAGGCTGTGAGAAAGCAGGCATTTGTACCACATTGCTGGTGGGAGTGTAAATTGATATAATTTCTATGAAGAGCAATTCGGTAGCATGTATCAGAATTTTAAAGTGCATATATCCTTTGACCTAGCAATTCCATTTGCTCTGGGCAAGTCATTATCTCTCTGTGCCTGTTTCCTCATCTGTAAAAAGTGGATAACTCTACCTCGCAGGGTTGTTGTGAGAGTTAAGTTAGAATGATACACATAAAGCACTTAGTACAAAGTACCTGGCACAAGGGAAGTGCTCCACAAATGTCAGTAATATAATAATAGCAGTCATGTGCATTGCATTCTTACCATGTACCACATTACTACATTGTGCTTGGTGCTTTTTATGTATTACCTCTTTTAATCTTTCAGTCAATGCTGTGATCACCAGCATTTAGCCTCTGAAGCACAGAGATGTGAAGTGGGTTGTCAAGCAGGATTCAAGCCAGGGCAGATGCCCAAGCCTGCAATATACAGCCTGTTTATTAGGGGTGGGGTGATGAACACCTTAAGGGAGGGTGTTCCATCCAAGGCTACAGATCCGAAAAGAGCTTGAAGAATCCAGGAAGGAGACAGGGCTGTGTGGGGTACCTGATGCCCTTGAGGTCCAGCTAAGAAACTTGGACTAGTTAATAAAAATACAATGAAAGAACCTCCATCTGTTGAGGGTCTGTTCTTAATTATTTTCATCGAAACTACTCCAGCGAGGTAAATTTATTAAATCCAATTGTATACAAAAGGCAACCACCAGGAGCCAGTGAAGGGGTGTAAGCTGGAATGTGACTTGATCAGTTGTGCGTTTTAGGAAGATCCCTTGGACCGTGGGCTGGACAGACAGGAAGTACCCTAGCAAACTGCTTTGAATTCCGTACATTTAAAAAAGATAACATTTGTCATTTTTTTCTTTCACTCCACAATTTATATTCACTGTAGAAAATATGAAAAATACAAGAAAGTTTAAAGAAATTTAAAAAACTGTTAATTCCACCTTCCAGAGACATCCCAATTGATACTTTTCCTCCAGTTTTTTCCCCCCTCTATGCAAAAAATATGCAGTCATTAGAATGACTGATGGGCGGAAGATGGGGAGACGCCCCTGTTAAAGCGTTGCTGATAATTCCCTCCTCTCTTTCTCTCCGTCTTACTAGGTCCACACCAAGAGGCCGACTGATTTTTCCCACGAGTCAGGGAAAGTCCACACGACTCGGCGCTACCACCCTCGCTCGCCGCAGGCCTGTCTCTAGGGGGCGCTGCCGCAAGACCCGACGGGGAAGAAGGAAGCCGGTGCGAAAACGCGTTGGAGTTTGGGCACCGCGGCAGCCCGTAGCCGGCTTTCCCAACATGGCGTTTCCCCAGGACGTCCACGTCAGGATCTGTAACCAAGAGATTGTCAAATTCGACCTGGAGGTGAAGGCGCTTATCCAGGTACTAATGCCCGGGACCCCTGCCGGGGTCCAGTAGCCCTAAACCCAAGCTCCACTGGCCTTCTGTGAGCTCGGCGGTCTCACTCCCGAGCTTTTCCCCCTTGGTCCCCTCCCCTTGGTCCCCTTGACCATTGGCCTTGATACTCCATCTGGCTGCCGTTGGCTCGCCCTCTTCCGGGACCCCCCCCCCCCCCCCCCCCCCCCC